AAAACACTAGTCAAGAACACATTCATTATGCAGTTTACAGTTAAACAACAGTCTAGCTAAGAGTCCAGAAGTTGGTTCTAATTAAACACAGCTTCAGAGTCTCTGGATAATTTATCATTTTAATAGTTTACAAATGTCAACATAACTTATCCTTTTTCCTAAACATTTCATAATGTGAATGACATGCGTAATTATACTTAGAACAATCTTATTATCTGGAGTACAATTGTATCCAGCAATCAGCTGAGTAATAAGAAAATGTAATATGTTCTGAGCCAACAAGACAAAGAAGGGCATCAGACAACTGTTAATGAAAAGTGCAACTTACTTACAGATTACAGATTATTTCTCTAAATTGATACCTTTTTTTTTTTCCCCCCTTAACTTTTACTGGCATGGTATTTCAAGAATAGTTGCTGCATTTAGTGATGCTAAAACATTGATGACCTGACACGATCAGGACATTAAGCCACCCAATAAAGCGCTATTACAATCTATAACCAGCAAAGAATCAGACATCTTGCAAGCAGTTTCAATTATGGAAGGAAATGTAGTTTAAGCAGGACTAAACATTATGGTAACATGTTTTTCCTATTGTCAGTAAATGCAAAGACACATACCTAACTATGCTACAAAACAAGATTGGTCTTCTGTTTTCAAAATAGTAAACAATTTCAAAATTGTTATTCCTAAATTAATTTCAAAGTCACTTTAAAAAAGGTCAGCTGAGCAGTTCACAACACTATTATAACTTGCTTTTGTACAACATGAACTTTATCAGCAAGATTTGCGTTTTTGTGGAGAGCTCGCAAGGGACAGGATTTATCCCAACTAGGTATTTCATATATTAAAGAGTACTACAACATTAGCACGGTAAAAGAAAGCAATTTACTTAGCTAATTTACCCATGTGGTTGCATTTTTTTTTCTGCTACAGCTCGTAGCACATCTCTCATTCTTGTCTCAAAGACAGATAAGGATGTCAGAGAGACTCTGAAAGGACTGATGATTTATTTAAAACAAACAAGAAGCAGCCATGCAACACAGATGCAAGCGATACCTCACCATCCGGGGACAGCAAAACACTTGATCATTGTAAGGCATAATTTACTTGGCCATGACCAAAGTGACCTCACAGGGCTTTTCCGGGCCCTGCAGCCACAAGCAGACACTTAACCTGCAGAATAATAGCTGCTATGCCCCAGTCAGATACTGATCATTACTAGTTACCATGGATTGGGCCCGAAGGAGCAAGAGGATAAAACGCCTCCTTCCTACTACCATCACCCCATCCTGCTTCCTCCTCGGCCTCCAGCCAGGCGGGAGGGGATTGCATCACCCCTTCACGTCAGCCAGACAGCCAGCCGAACCCGCAGCCTGGCCGCCAAGTAAGACTATTACTTACTTGACCCGAGCAGCACCCGAATAAAACCCAGCCCCGGACCCCAGGGCAGGCTCCCCGGGAGGGGCAGGGCAGGCTGGAGGCGGGAGGGCCGCCGCCGGCAGGAGCGGCGGAGCTGTCCAGGGTCCTGAAAAGGGTCCTGCCCCGGG